TCTAGCCTACGTGTGGGCCAGACGGAGGAGGCCGAGGCCACGCGTGACTCACTGCGCTCCCTGAAGGCCCTGCTGGCTCCATGGGGTCAGCGACTGGTGATTCTCACTCGCTCGTGTCAGGGCACCTGGGGGAGGCTGTCTGTGAGGGCCCGGCTGCTCTGTTTCCAGGGAGCCGGCCCTGTGCGTTGGCCATAGATTTTCGTTCCTTTAGGGCAGCGTGTGCAGTGCACGGGCTCCGCAGACCATGTCGATCGCCGCAGATCCACTGTGTTTGCCGACACCACGCCCCCGGGTGGAGGGTGAACATGGGGATCGGTTGTGTCGGGACCGGGAGAAGCAGGGCACCTGGGGGAGGCTGTCTGTGAGGGCCCAGCCTGCGGGCGGCTCCCTCCCCGCCTGCGGGCACCAGGGCTGCTCTGTTTCCTGAGTCTGCGTTGTGGTCGCTGCAGCTGCACTGGGGGGGCCGCGCCCCCGGAGCTCGGATGCTCAGGAGGGCTCTGGAGCGGCCTGGCCTGGGCTCAGTGGCTGGCAGGGCACCTGGGGGAGGCTGTCTGTGAGGGCCCGGCTGCTCTGTTTCCAGGGAGCCGGCCCTGTGCGTTGGCCATAGATTTTCGTTCCTTTAGGGCAGCGTGTGCAGTGCAAGGGCTCCGCAGACCATGTCGGTCGCCGCAGATCCACTGGGTTTGCCGACACCACGCCCCCGGGTGGAGGGTGAACATGGGGATCGGTTGTGTCGGGACCGGGAGAAGGCAGGGGGCCCACCACGTACCTTCACCAGCATGATGTCATGCGACTCGGGGTCCGAGTTGAATCCTGAGAACGGAATGAGCTTTGTGACCCCAAATGTTTGCTTGGAGGCCTCATCCTTCGAGAGAGAGTGGGCGCCCAGGACCACATGGGAAGACTGGCCTCGGGCAAACCTGACAAACACAGGGAACAGAAGCCACACGATGACCCCTGCTCCCAGGGGAGCAGAGAGGGTGGAGAAGGTCACCTGCTGGGATTTGGGGGGCAGGGAACCCGGCCTGAATGAAGGCTGTGACGGGCAATGAACTGCCTCCAGCCGCCCACCCCCCATCTCCAGCATTGCAGAGGCGGGCAGAACTGTCACTGACGGGGTGACCTGGCTGTGCCCTCACTGACCCGGCGTGGAGGCCCGGCCCAGGCAGGTGGGGACGGGGCCCAGGCAGGTGGGGATGGGGCCCAGGCAGGTGGGGACGTGGCCCAGGCAGGTGGAGAGGTAAGGCCGTGCGGCTGTCAGGTACGCCCGGGTCCTGCCCCGCAGCTAGAAGGTGACTGGACAGGAAGGGAAGCTGTCCTCCAGGTGAGACCCCTGCTCTTTTGGAACCAGGACCCTTGAGGGTGAGGCAGGAAACTCCCTGCGGAGAGTTAGGGGCGACCTCGGCCGTTTCCTAGAACTCCAGCACCTCTCGCCCTCGTTCGTCAACCCACCACCACCCCGGCCGAGTCAGGCCTCCCGACGGCATTGAAAACGCGACTCCATGCCGTTCAGCCAGGCAGGCGGCTCGTGAGGCCTCGGCTGCTGTGCGTCCAGCTGAGCAACAAGACGCCCAGGGGCCCCCTCCGGCCCCGCGCCTCCCGGACGCGGCAGGAAGGAAGTGTGCGTCCGTCGGTGTGAGCAGCTCTCGCGGTGCCCGTCCTGGGTTGAACGGGCATTTACTGAGCGTCACCCTCTGCCTCGCGGTCCCCGGGGGCCGAGGGCTGAGAGGGCGGCCGTGATGGGACACGGTGGTTTCCATGACAGCGACAGCCTCGGGGAAGTGCAGAAGCCACATTAGCCGGAAAGGGGGCAGCGACTCAGACACAGAGCAGAAGTGCCCACAGCTTCCCGGCTGCACAGCCTCTGGTTTGTGTGCCCCCCCCATGGGCCGTGAACCCACACCTCAGCGCGGGG